TAAACTGATATGAAAGCCCACCGAATTTCTAACACGACGCCACCCACTAGTCTCGAACATACAAATGAACATTTAATATTCCAATCACAACTAATATGTCCCAAATTATGCATTCTTCTATATCCTTGGCCTAGATTATATACACGAATGTAAGACACGAATGTTTGAGAAAACCTAGATATTTCGTAAAGATAACCGAAAAATGGCGCGTTTTTTGTACTCATAGTTTGTCATGCTACTTAAGCAATTACCCTGAATAGCAAATGTGCTATACAAGCACGAAGGTGCGCTCTGTGCCATTCTTTAATGATCCGACGTCAATACTAGAAGCAATACTAGAAGCAATACTAGCTAGATGCCCAATACTAGATGCAATACTAGAAGCATTAATAGATGCAATACTAGAAGCAATACTATAGAAGCAATACTAGATGCAATACTAGAAACAATACTAGATGCAATACTAGATGCGATACTATAATATAGAGCTACAATATTTCTCTACGCAGTGACAGCTAGGTCTGCCTTATTACCTGATGTAATCATTAATTTAATCCCAATGATGTCTGAGTCAGAGTAAGCTGAGTCACTGACGTGTGTAGTTGACTCGATCCACTAAATCCAATACTTCTTTAGGAACCCACGAATACACACCCTCACCACCGTGCATCATCACCACACCCGTAACCCAGAGGGTGAATATTCTCAAGATCGATTATATCAGGAGTCTATCAATATTGATAGACTCCTGATTATATACCACTGCTTATCTTAAATTGTTACACCCCTGCCCATACCACAACCTATAATCCTGAGCTCAAAATGTATGTACGGGGAGTCTGAAAGTAGAATTGACCCCATACATATCCTCATCATCTACTCGGAAAGTGAATTAACCCAAATGATACTCAATCACAGTTGTTCGCACAGCAACACGTCCTACTGATCACACACTCAGTGACACCTTGTCGTGGCGCGCCATGGCAACGCAGCATCATTTCCTCCGTATATCTACACAGCATCATTTCCTCCGTATATCTACACAGCATCATTTCCTCCGTATATCTACACAGCATCATTTCCTCCGTATATCTACACAGCATCATTTCCTTCGTATATCTACACAGCATCATTTCCTCCGTATATCTACACAGCATCATTTCCTCCGTATATCTTCACAGCATCATTTCCTCCGTATATCTACACAGCATCATTTCCTCCGTATATCTACACAGTATCACTTACTTTGTGGATCTATGCATCACCTACATAGCAGATCTATACCGCATCCCCTACATTGTAGATCTACACCGCATCCCCTACATAGCAGATCTATACCGCATCCCCTACATTGTAGATCTACACCGCATCCCCTACATTGTAGATCTACACCGCATCCCCTACATTGTAGATCTATACCACATTCGCTACATAGTGGATCTACACCGCATCCGCTATATACATAGCAGATCTACGCCGCATCCGCTACATAGCAGATCTACGCCGCATCCGCTGCATAGTAGATCTACGCCGCATCCGCTACATAGCAGATCTACACCACATTCGCTTCATAGTGGATCTACACCGCATCCGCTACATAGCAGATCTACGCCGCATCCGCTACATAGCAGATCTACGCCGCATCCGCTACATAGCAGATCTACGCCGCATCCGCTACATAGTAGACCTACGCCGCATCCGCTACATAGCAGATCTACACCACATTCGCTACATAGTGGATCTACACCACATCCGCTAAGTAGCAGATCTACGCCGCATCCGCTACATAGCAGATCTACACCGCATCCGCTACATAGCAGATCTACACCGCATCACTTACTTTGTAGATCTTCTTGTCCGGCTTGCGGCAGTCGACGATGTGGTCGAGTATGTGCGACGTGAGCGCCCGCGTCGGAGCAAACATGTGATTCACCTTGTCCGCCTTGCGCGACACCATGCTCTCCGACCGCGTCACTATGTTCCTGCCGCGCCCCTCGACGCAGTACGGCTGCTCCGAGTACGACTCGGGGACCGCGGGCGGAGGCGGCGACTCTACGGTGGGTTTCGGCACGATGTGACCCATCGTTCACGAGGGATTCTCACGGGGAAATTCTCATGCGAATACGCGACAAGCCCTCGTTTTAAATCCGCACGTGGTGACACTAGTTACGCGTCTACTGTATACTACTACACTCCGTATTTCACAGTGTTTCACAAAGTTTCGCAAAACAGTAAATGGCAAATGATTTCCACACCGATCAGGCAGGCTATCACTGCCTGTTCTTCAACGATTCGTCTAAGGTAAGTAAATGAAACGACGTATCCCTCGCCGATCACGCCGGTATATCATATAGCGTCCCGCACGGCGGCACCTACTTAACCCCTTTCTAAGAGCAACACGTAAACAAAGATGCTTAGATGACCAGGTTAAATGCTCAAGGGTGGCAGCTCGGCCGGCACGCAACAAGCTTTCTTCAGCGCGGTGCACGCCAGCTGGTGTGCTCCCAACGCGCTGCTGCCCCTGTCCGCACAATACTCCCTCAGCACAGTCACACCTATTCACACGAGACTCTCTCTTTCTCTTTGTTCTCGCCGCTATTCAATCCCCAGCGCAGCATCGCTGCGCCCCATCGGCGAGTGATGTCATCCTCATTAAGGTAACACGCACCTCATCGCACGCGCGCAGTGTTCTCGCAAGCCAGCGTATAGCCACGGCAGAAGCCTTGCTGCACTGCGTCCACGCGTAATCCGCAGCGTATGCTCACTGACACGGAGTAATGAAGCTGTGCGAATGACGTGGCCAAAGCGTGAGCCAGGAAGGAGAAAGAGGAGGAAGAGGAGGGAGAGGGGAGGGGGTACTGCGTGAGCGCACTCGGCCGCACGCCGCTGCTTTGAATAATAAACGAATCCTCGCGGGAAGCTGGCGCGACTGACTGATTAAGTGCTCATAATTGCGTCTGTGCGGATTGATGCGTTTTGACCGGACACCCGACGGACTGATAAGTAATAATGTTGAACACCGCCGAAGCCACCGATTTGCGGTTTCCGTTGGGCTGGCCGCTTGGCCAAATACGAACAAATTTACGGCTAAATAGTTCGGAGCCGTGTGACAGAAATCCGCCGAAGACTGCTAATGGAACACCAGTTCAGCAGTGTAACACAATTGCCAGCCTATAGCGGATTTTCGTGAGGGCGGCCGTAAATTTCCGCGCGTGACGTAGCGCAACAACGTGCGGTAGTTCACACGTACGCGCCACGAACCTCAAAAACCGCAAATCACAGACACAGTCACGCTATAGACAAGACTTAATTCACACTTAACACGAGAATCCGCACAGCAACTGTGTGCACTGTGTCGCAACAGCGTTGCTGTGAAGCACGGTAAAATTTCAGCGTAGATTCTATATCCCGATCAAACGCCCCGCACAACGTCCAGGATCGATCCCCGATCGTCACGCTTCATCCAAGCGTCCCTTCGCCCGTGACGTCACGGGAACGCACGACTGTTCAGTGTCACTTGGATCGTGTTAGCGAGCCTTGGAGGCTTCCTTGCCGTGTCCTCACTATCCGCAGCTGCGTGGCGCACTAAACACAGATGCAAGATATATCACAGCCCAACCTTATACGGGCGCTATATCTATATAGCTATATGAGCTGCTACGTACGCAGCCGTCCACCCAGCGATCCACACAAACACAGATCCAAGATATAACAGCCCTACACTATACGGGCGCTATATGGCTATATCAACTGCTATACGCACTCAACCGTCCACCCTGCGATCCACACTAACACAGATCCAAGATATAACAGCCCAACCTATACGGGCGCTATATCTATATGGCTATGTCAATTGCTATACGCACTCAGCCGTCCACCCTACGATCCACAGAAGGGCGGTAACACACTCTCCGAAGGTTGGTTGTTTATAGTCACGGCTGTTCACCGAATTCTATGAGCGATTCGCATCACCACGAAAGCTCGCACCTGCGTGCCGACGTTTGAAAAGCGAGGCATTAAACAACGCTCCGTAATTTCACCCGTAGCCGCTAGTAGCTGTGTAGAATCACCGTCGGCATACGCACAAACGCACGCGGAGAAAGTTTTTCGCAGGGCAGTTATCCCAATTAAAACTCACACGTCTCGTAAACACCTATATAGATATACACCTCTCTCTCTCTCTTTCAGTATAATATTCTCAACCACATATAGTGACGCCAAACTGCCAGCAAACGCGAAGACTCTGTGAAGAATTGCTGTACAATTACTGCTTGCCTGCTTGCCCCCTGCGGACATCAACGGCTCTAGCTGTTAATCGCTGATAGTCACCGTCGAGGAAGACGAGAGAAAAAAACTGGCCGCGCCGGCAGCACGACTGGCCAAGTGAAGTGCCAGTGAAGTGCCTGACTAACGCCTGACTAACGCTCACGCTCAGCGCACCCACCGTCCCCCCGATCTACCGCAAACACGGCCATTCTACCTCTCAAGCGCGTCGGGTAACCCAATTCGAATTCCGTTACCGCCCGCCCGCCCGCTCCGTCTCTATACCGTACCTCACGATGTGCCAGAGCGTTCATCGGGAACGACAAAAATTCGCTGATTCGCTCGCCGATACGTGTCGCAGTTTAAATGTGCAACACGTTTTCACAGCAACAAGTCAGATAAGCATTGGCGACAAGAATAGCGTACGCATAGCCCGCCCCGATATACGATCTTTCCGCGTATTTATTCGGCTGCTAATCCGACTGCAAATGTTTAGGAACGAGAAGCGAACGCACAGCACACGTTTTCCACTTCCGCGTCTGCGCGCGTATTCTCATACTGTGCTGTACGTATGTGTGTTGCGAAGCAATCGTTGACTACCGCTACGACTACATAATGTGTGCCTCCGGCGGCGTGTAAGCGCAGTTATTAAGTGAAACTCCCCGTCAAACGAATGACAGTAGTAGCGTACACACGGGCGTGAATGCCGTAGAAACAGACGGGCGAAATTAGGTACCGTGTATTTTTTTCTCTCTCTGTCTCGCTAAACATATAGGGCATAACAAACGGCGAGTGACCGCGAATTCCTGACTTGCATGTCGATTTCAATCTACGCACGCACGCACGGTCGCCGGCATGCACGCACGCACGCACGGTCGCTGGCACGCACGCACGCACGGTCGCCGGCACGCACGCACGCACACACGCATGGTCGCTGGCAAGCACGCACGCACGCACGGTCGCTGGCATGCACGCACGCACGCACGGTCGTTGGCACGCACGCACGCACGCACGCACGCACGCACGGTCGCCAATATTCATTTTTTCACAGCTCCCTTTGAAATGTGATAACAATTCTATACCGCACACGGAGTCGGGGGAAAAACGTTGAATATTTTACTAGCCCGGAGAAATTTTATTGAGACTAGGGAGAAATTTTATATTGAGACTATAGAGAGAAATTTCACCAATAAATCAGACCGATGTATTGAAAAGCACTTCCGTGAAGTTTGGATAAGCTCGGAACTGGAGTAATATTGTATTATAGATAGGCCAAAATTTGGCTACTGATTCCAAAGATTCTACGTAGTGAAGTAGTATATTACATAAAATCAGTAATTGCGAAGTTATAATTTCACAATCAATGTTCATTGGTTGGGGTTAACAATGAGGACTTTGAACATGTGTTTACATTCAATGCACCCCGTATAAAACAGCCGAAAATGCCACACTTGCTTTTGTATGGGTATAGACATGATTGCCAACAAGTTAGCTCATTCTCTTCCTTACTGAGCAAATAAGACACTAATCAGTGTGACTCAAATGAAATGTAAGTAAAAACGGCTACGTTACTCGATTGACTTAAAATCCGAATGGTATTTTTGTCGTAAAATGAAATATTTAAATGGCTTCATGCATAGCAGAAAAATGTTTTCATCCGAATTTAAAAGCAACAACAACAACAACACATTTACATGGTCTTAGAGGTTACGTAAAGGTTCGTTGCATATAAGAATGGGTCTACCTACTAACGTTTTCAGTTGGTCCACTATATACCTACAACAAGCCCTATAATTTCGAAAACCACACACACACACACACACACCCAAGGCAGTACTTGACTGACTTCAACCCCTATACGAGCCCAATAGGTCAAACGTGAAATTGGGTTAATAACCCTCAAGAATTTACTATCAGCCAGCTTACACTTGTTTTTTTTCTTCACTTGACTAGCGGATTATAGATAGGAATTCTTCATGCACTCACACTTATTCTTTTGGTTAGCCGGCACATGGTGACAAATTTGTCTCACCCCTGCCGATACTCTCTCTCTCACTCTCTCTCTCTCTCTAATGTCTTATACTAGTTTATAAAGTACGGACGGAGAAGCGATGTCTCTAGGACAATCACTGCAATGACACAATAATTCCCACCTCCAATAACATGCAGTATCTACAAAAAAACGATGCGCACAATATAAACGAAACATATGTCCTTCACGAGTGTACGTCACTGCTGCTGCATCTGTAATAACATCAGGTCTCATAATATGAGTCCAGGGTGCGAAATTAACGGGAGTCCGAAGTCAAATACTCCCTGATTTACTGTCGGACTCCCTGATTTGACATATGCAGGAGTGCGTGTGACTCCCCAGTCCCTGAAAATTCTGCCATACTAACTAGTTCGTTCCGGAGCACGGCCTCGCGGAATTACTGTATTTGTTCAGCTAATGTCCAAAGAAAATTTGGCAGACGTGCAACTGCATGAATCTTAAAAATAAGCACATGCGTTATTGTTAATATCTTTAATTTTAAACCGTGTGTGAAACACAAATGTGTCATCATCTATAGCCCTGATATTATTAATTCAGAATTTTTTTATCGCAATGCACGAAAAAATTCAGCGTCAGTGTTACACAATAAATATCAACTGCATGACATACAGAATAGGCCTACCTTTGATATTTTCGATACATAATCAATCATCAAGACATACAATAAACACGTGTGCTTTATTGACACACCTCCTCAGATCTCGTTTCGAAGGACCAGCCCTTTCACCTGTGAAGACGTATGACCATCAAGTAAAATGACGATGATTATATTATTACTTAGTCATTCTGAGTAGCAATGTGAGGCATTGTCAGCTGGCTTGACCTGACATATATGCCTTCAAGCAACTGACACGTACGACTGGGGGGCTAGACACACGTGTGTGTGACCTGGTTTGATTGTTGCACAAAACGTTTGTCACGTATACGAGACATCGCAGTGGAGGCTGAGTGGGCTGTCCAAAAACGAATCAATATTTAAATAAAACATATTATTCAATAAATATGAATGAAATTCGTTCCTGAAAAACGCCTTTCATATTTCTCAGCAGGTTGGAATTAGGGTTATGTTTGTAGCTAAGCATAAATATATAATTTAAAAGACAATGTTAATTAAAAAACAGATGCGCTTTCGTATACAAAACTGGCATCATTCTCATTATAAGACTGACTGCTTCTGAATCATA